AATGGGCCTTGCACAAGGCCCTATCTTCAACATGGAGCGACCGTTAGTGTGACGTCACCTCGTTTAGTCATTCTGATTTAAATGGGTTTGTTCGTTGAAAAATCGCTTAAAACTTGGTCTGAACTTTGTTGTGGTGCCTACAGAGTAAAAAGAATCAGCTTTATGACAGTAATGTGGCCTGGGGAAGGAGGTAATTTTGGGCTGTGACGTCACATATTTGAAAGTTTGTGTTTGGAATATGGGAAGCCTAAGATGTTTAATGAAAAATAAATGCCAGAACCGTGTTCCTGGTCATCCAATCTATAAGGTCGGGCACAATTTAACTGGTTTAACAACATTTTAGAAGGTGGGATAGTCCCTTTAAAGCATGGATGAAGGAGAACCAGGGGATGAAGGTTCTTTCATCCATGGTTAAAGTGTGCAATAAGAACTTCTTGGGTGAAGACAAGACCAACACTTTTATCAAGCTCACAGATTTTTAATGATACGGTATTTTCTCTCTACCTACTACGCCCTTCTCACATTCATTTTTCTTAAGTGTTTTTGGGGACAAAAAATATATGTTGTTCCCCTTTCAGGCTTGGGGGCATGACCCCGTGGCCCCCCTGGATCCGCTAGGCCGAAACTAACTAGGTCGTTTTCAAACGGTCTGATATTTCAGGTCATAGTTTGCAAACGGCCGGTGTTTTCAGGTAGTTTCATATGGCCTGACTGGGCCAGGCCGTTTGCAAACGGACCGAATTTTCGTACGGCCTGTAACATATATTCAGATTTCGACATCTGTCGTAGCATCAAATGCTGATGTGGCGCACTCAAAAGCCGGAATTGGTCCTTGGATGCCGTAAGGACCCTTTTAAGAAATAAGTGACCCGACTGACCCTTAGAGATTGGCCTGAGCTGTGACCGAAATAAGTCTTTTACCGTTTCGCAGGAAGGGACAAAAAGGTCCCTCATATGCTTCTTGTACAATTACGAAACAAAACAAGTTTTTTTTTTTCAACGAAAACTCAGTGAGTTTTCCTAAAAAATTTATTGCGCATATTCCGTGAATGAAAAGTTGCCGGGTCATGTCAGGTCAGGCTGCCACAGCAAGTTTGTTAACTTGACAGCTCAATCGATATTTATGCAATAAGACCTTCTCGGGTGACGATAAGACATGACGACACTTTATGAAAGAAGCTAGTAAACCCGGTAGTTTCTCCATAGGCGCGGGAACCGGGGGGAGGGGGCAGTGGTGGCAGCTTGCCCCCCCCCCCCCAACTCTGGGGCCGTGCGGGCGGTGCCCCCACAACTTTCAGACAGAATACCGCTCCTTTTTGCAAATGTTTTCTTTTTTTTGTTGAAAAAGCCAAGGGATGAAAAATAAGTGGCCTAAAACCGGCGAGAAAACTATATTTGGGGGATCCTAGGTTGATCTCTATCATGGTGTGACCTCCCCCCCCCCCCCCCCGTCTAAAAGTAGTTCCCGCGCCCCTGGGTTTCTCTACGCTATTGAATCACGCTGCTGATTCTAGTAAGTATCTACTACACAACCTTCTCACATTAATTTTTCTTCGAGCGTTTTGGGGGGCCAAAAGATATGTTGGCCCCCTCTTTTAGGCTTTTTGGGCCCATGGCCCCGGTGGCCCCCTTGAATCCGCCAGTGGGGGCGGTGCCCCCACAACTTTAAAACGGAATACCGTCCTTTTTTGCAACTGTTTCTTTTTTTTGTTGAAAAAGCCAAGGGATGAAAAATAAGTGGCCTAAAACCGGTGAGAAAACTAGATTTGGGGGGACCCTAGGTTGATCTCTATTATGGTGTGCTCCCCCAGTCTGAAAGTAGCTCCCGCGCCCCTGACTTTCTCTACGCTATTGAATCACGCTGCTGATTCTAGTAGGTATCTACTACGCAACCTTCTCACATTAATTTTTCTCCAAGCGTTTTGGGGGGGGCCAAAAGATATGTTGGCCCCCCTTTCAGGCTTTTGGGGGGGGCCATGGCCCCGGTGCCCCCCCCCCCCCTGGATCCGCCAGTGAACGTGGCAAAACTTCACTGTCCCTACGAGCCCTCATCAGCACTCGTTTTCTCGGTGTGTGACCCCTGCCCTGTGGCCGAGACAGCCGCCAGCCTATACCGCGCGCCGCGCGGCGCACCCCTCCTTAGCGGGCGGGGGAGCGCACTACGCGCTCCCCGCCCACACCCCTCCCTCCTTCCCGAGGTCGTGTCACGAGGGTTCGGGCCTACGCAATCACGCCCAGCGCATGGGAATGCGTGGTTTGGTCCGGATTCAGCCAACTACCGGCTCGCGACACCAGCGCCGCGTGGTGGCGAGGGGACATTCTTTTTAGACATACTGTACCCCTCCGTTTCTCTCTCCTACCACTCGTCCCCTCTTCTATCGGGTCGAGAAGGACGCAGTAGCGCTTACATAACACATATAGAGGTCGGGGGTGGCACACGCGCTGAGCAGCTCTTTCACGGCCAAGTTAGACACTCGAGTCTGATTGGGCTATTTCATGTGGTAAATGAAGCGACCAACTTTCCAACTTTCCGCGGGGACAGTGTGCTTGGGAATGAGGAGGTGAGCTTTTTAAGAAGGCTGAAGCGCTGAGTATCTTTAATATTTGAATGGGAAACACTTTTCCATTTCCTGGTTGATGTGATATATTTGAAAAAATAAACTTGCTGAGCTATTTGGTTAGTTAAATCAAATAAATGTCCATGTCGTCTAGCCTCGAAAAAAATCACTCCGGGTTTTCTTGTGTTTCATGATGCTAATGCATGCACGATGTAGGTATATGCATATTGCATATATTGTCAACAAATGTTCTATAGCTATTTACACCCACGAAGTACAGATACGGCTACAGCTGTAGCGCTCCACGGGATGTGCTGGACATTTCCCGTTCCTTATCTGCCCCACTACACACCCCCTCCCCCTTCCTCTCAGTGGCGTCTGACTGGGGTGACTGACGAGCTGTGAGCACCGGCGCCGCCGTCCCGACACCATTAGCCAGTGTGTGCCGACCTCCCGACCCCCTCACCCCCACCCCCCTCCCACCCTCCGACCAATCGGCTCACAACAAAGCGTCGTAATTGTGCGCTGATGAAGCCGCTCTGTGTCCGAGTGCTCGTGCGGCGGCGCCGCGCGCGACGGGGGCGTCGACAGAATGCCGGCGCCTGCTCGCGATAGAGTGGAGAACAGACGTGAGTGCGAACTCTAATTGACAATGATGGTGACAATGCCAGCGTTAATTACTCCGTAAAATCATTTAGTAGACGGCTAGGCCCATGTTTGCTTGTGAGCTGGGCGCCACACGTCTAAGCAGTATCGAGTATTTTAGACACGGGCCGAAACTGTTGAAGTGTTTTGCTGTTGCCGATGATCAATGACAAATGACAACAGAAGCAACTTTTCTACCCCATTTCTATCCTGTTTACGCATGAATACAGTCGTTTTTATGCACACACATTTTTTGTGTTATTTTTTAACGTTTTCTTTCTGGTTTCCCCATTTAGAGCGCAATAATGCTGTCGCAATTCAGCACTCACGCGCACGTATTGTACAAAAAAAAAAAAAAAAAAACGGGCCATCAAATAAGCACTTCTGGCGGCGTATTCTGTCATTTTTTTGCGGCCTCTCCGGCCTTCAGGGAACCGTGCCGAGTGTTTGTCCCCGGACGATATGGTCCTGGCAGCGGCGGCTCAGGGACTCAGAGATCCGCACGATCCGACTGCGCTCAGAGAAACGAATGACAGCCTAATGAGGCAGCACGACGCTTTTTTCTGTCACTAGTATGTGCTACTGCTGTGCATATTTCCAAGCTCGATACCTAATTCATCGCAAGAGGCTGTGCTTAGATCAAGATGTTATTCAGAAGCATTGCCTGAACTTACAAAAGCTATCGCTATTGAATATGCATATTTCTGTATTTATGCCGAACGTTTTTTGTTTTGCCCACCTAAATTTAAAACTTTTGACACCGCTGCACTGCAGTGACATCTTTCTATGCACTAGATAAAAGAGGGCTGAATCATGAGATTTTGCGTGTTTTACACATGATTAATATCACACCCTAAACACAGGGCTATTAACCGCTAAACAATTCAGCAGCCTAACTGGATTTGTGCCGCGTTCTCAGGAACGTGGACTGGTTAATTTCATACCGGCGCGGTTCTCGGCCGGGGAGAGCTACTTCCCAGCCACCTCGCCGTGCTATTTTGCCCGCGCACAGCCGGTTCAGTTGATCAATCTTGCATTGTTTACCCGAGGAAAGGCGGAGTTTGGATTCAAAGAACTGAATGCCGATGTGCTCAAAATAGTCGTTATTGATTCTGCTCTATGATTCTGCTCACGTGCCGACATAGTGGTCTTTCGAAGTGTGCTGTTTTCATCCATTTTCATTATTATTGATGGCATGTTTTTGGATTTGCTGAAACGCACGAACGCACGAATTACTCCCTGTTCTTTTATGATGCAGATATGCCGTGCCTTTGATCCATAATCGTTTCTCTAGGGATGCCACCATTACGTGGGAGTTTCTGCCGTTCGGTTTATGCATTAGTGCTTTAACCCGTCCGCTAATTTCTCTTTGATATTGAAATGTCTGGTCTGATTTCGTCGTCGTCAGATCTCCTTGTCACAAACATGTCTCACTTGGTCTTTATGCGTCATCACATCTCTAATGTCAGCCTTTCTGTATGTGTCTACCTTTGTGAATCTCGTTCGACTCCCCTTTCCACCTTCCCTCCATGCTTCCGTCTCTTTCTGTCTCTGTCCCTTCCTCTCCCCGTACCAGCCGCCCCACTGACTCCCCCCCCCCTAGCTTCCCCAGGTGGATCCTGCTGCGGCCCTGCCATGGAGCTGGAGCCTGTGCCCGCCTCCTGGCTGACCCCCCCCCCCCCCCCGCCTTCCCTCCCCGTCAGGTGGATCCTGCGGCGGCCCCGCCATGGAGCTGGAGCCTGTGCCTGCCTCCTGGCTGACCCCCCCTTCCCTCCCCCTCAGGTGGATCCGGCGGCGGCCCCGCCATGGAGCTGGAGCCCGTGCCCGCCTCCTGGCTGACGGCCGCGCCGCCCCCGGCCGCCGCCGACGGCCTCGTCAACGGCTCAGCGGCGGCCAACGCCACGGCTGCCGGCGGCGGCTTCTACTCGGTGACACAGACAGTGCTGCTCATCCTGGTGACCAGCGTGCTCGTCTCCGTCACCGTGGTCGGCAACATCATGGTCATGGTGTCGTTCCACATCGACAAGCAGCTGCAGACCATCAGCAACTACTTCCTGTTCAGTCTGGCGGTGGCCGATTTTGCCATCGGGCTCATCTCGATGCCGCTGTTCACGGTGTACCAGGTGATGGGTCGGTGGGTGATGGGTCCGGTGGTCTGTGACACGTGGCTCGCTCTGGACTACCTGGCATCGAACGCGTCCGTGCTGAACCTTCTCATTATCAGCTTCGACCGGTACTTTTCTGTGACGCGTCCGCTGACCTACCGAGCGCGGCGCACGAACCGTCGAGCGGCAGCAATGATCGCCTGCGCCTGGGGCATCTCTCTGGTCCTGTGGCCGCCCTGGATCTACGCGTGGCCGTACATCGAGGGCCGACGCACCGTGCCGCCGGACGAGTGTTACATCCAGTTCCTGCAGACCAACCACTACTGGACGTTCGGCACGGCCATCGCCGCCTTCTACCTGCCCGTGCTCATCATGTGTGGCCTGTACTACCGGATATGGCTGGAGACGGAGCAGCGGCAGCGGGATCTGACCCACCTGCAGGCTGGCAAGAACAGCAGCAGGAGGTCAAACACCAGGTGAGTCAGGAGCAACAGCAGGAGGTCCAACACCAGGTACGGCAACAACAGCAGGAGGTCCAACACCAGGTACATCTTGAGGAACAGCAGGAGATCCAACATCATTTATCAGTCCGGTGTGGTTTAAGTGGGTTAAGCGGTTTAAGTGGGTCCGGCACCTTGAGGTTCGACTCTAATTGTTTGTGATTTTCCATCTAGATGAACAAGCTTACACTTAATCATCTCCACCCGACAGCAGCATAATGCCTTGCATTATGCTGACAGTAGCATAAGAGGCATTGAAGGAGCGACCTCCTTCTGTAAGACTTCGCAGATGCGGCGGACTGTTAAATCTCTAAAGGGCAATTCTTATCAGCATTTTTTGAACATTGATTGGATGAATGCTTATTAGCTATGTTTCCGTATTCCGTGTTACGAGGAAAAGTTCAACATCTTTCCCTTACCTCGGCTATCAGTATGTGGAAACTGAATATATTTCAATTTACAATTCATTGGTGCGGGGGAGGAGTCGGCATCGGTTACAAATCGGGTGGCTGCATTTTCACAAATGGTGCGCCTGGGAAGCGCCATTTCCACCCAAACCAGGCCCGACGAAGATCGATGGCTGCCGTGCGTCTCCCCCGACGTCCGACATTTGCCGGTCATCGCTTAGGTTAGTGAACAGCTCAAAGTGTCCAGCGTAACCGATACTAAATTATAGTGAACTATCGATTTATGTCCTGCAGTGATACTCCTGAAATATATTTGTGCCTGCTGAGTGTTGAGAAGGCATTTTGTGGTGTGTTTAAATAAGTGACACATAGGCAGTACAATAGGTTATCAAATTGAAGAAAAGGGAGAATGTGAGCAGGCACTGGACGGATGATGGATAGGCTGTATGAAAGCTACTGCAGTTTAATTTCAGACCGTTCAGTCATCGGTAGGCATTAGACCACTCTTTTCAATGTCTACACTGCAATATTGGATATATGCAGTTCAAGTTCAAGGGTTTTGATCTCGATGTAGCTACGCGTCGGTAAAGGGGCAAGCATTGTAAACAGCGAACAACATGAGTATTTATACCTGACCCATATTCCCAGTGGGGCACCAATTTAAACTGGAATGAATCACTTTCATTTCAAGGCTGACATTTGACAAATTATTTCATGACTTTCGTCACAGTTCAATTAATACACTTTATACTTAGATTATTTTATTTGAAGTCAGAAACATTTGTCTAATGTTCTGTTCGAAGTTATATCGGTTGACCTTTCAGAACCCCGGCTGATATCCGTCAGTCCGTGCCGCTATGGCAGAGACATTTCCTCAAAGTGTCATTGAACGAGCGTCGCTTTCCTAAATCTGCAGCACCACTAGCAGAACGAGCTAGAGGCCCAACTTTTCATATAGCGCTACGTTCAATAGCATTTTCAATATCCCGGCAGCGGGCGGGCGCATCTTTCCCCGTGTTTTCGCCGCTGCAGGAAAGCTTGCTGCCTATACGCTATGGCTGTCACCACGCGGCCGACGGCTTCGCTTTTTGCCGACCAGCCGCCGACAGCGATGCAAAACAAAGCCGATTTGTCGGGAAACAGGCGATAAAACGTTGAGCCAACACGTGCCGCGCCCCGGGCAGCACCCCGGCCGGCTGGCTCGGCCGGCCGGCCGGCGGCGGCGGCGACGACGACGACGGCGATCGATTCTTCCCGGCCGGCCGGCGGGCTCTCCGGCCGCGCCGTCACCGCCAAAACGGTCGCAGCGCCCGGCTGAATGGTCGGCGGCCGTCTGCCGCGCCGCGCGTCAGCGGTGCGCCGCCGTGCCGAGCCGTTATCTGGCCCAAACACCGCAGGCCCCGCGGTAACTCGGAGTCAGCGCCGCCGTATTTAGTGGTCCGGCCAGTGGCTAAGGAGAGTGGATTAGGTAGAACGAGTGTTCAGTAAAAGAGATATGCTCACAGATTTGCTTCGCAAACGTTTTTGCCCAGTAGCCAAGGCGCAATAATGAGTAATGAATCCCGCGCAAATGGGGTAAAGTAAAATGAGGAAGACGCTACCCAGGAAATGGCGGAGTAGTTTCCAGTGAACCGTTGCCTGAGGCGCGGCCTCAATTTAATCTCGTTAGCTTGTAGGCTGCGTACACGGTGCTGATGCAAGGGCGATTTAACCCGTGCCAGCCTCCAGCTTCGCCACTGAGAAATTTCACCAAAGTACGTACAAAGTTTTTGCTCGAAGTTCTTGTGCGTCACGGAAAATTATATTTGACTGCAAGTGTGTCAGACTCGCTTGGAACACTCGCTCTTTGATTAATTAGGCCATTACTGAAATAAAGGACACCGGAAATGAAACTAGACGTGTCCTCAGAGTACTTCGTTCCATTGCTGACCCATCCACACAACTTCCTGAACTTAAGTTAACTAGGTAAGCTTCAGAGAAAGTTAAAAGAGAAAACTTGAAATGATTGATGACATTCGTTGACGTCTTGACAGATCGAAGTTATGTGCTTGAAGGTGATATATAATTCAGCTCTTGTGAAACTAAAGCGCCGTGAGTAAAGCATTTAGTGGGTAGACTGTCCGTGAAATGTGTTACGACCTACGCACAAATCATGACAGTCGCTCGCGCTATAAGAGCATCTTCGCGAGGTGGGGTCGCAGATATTCATACATTCGCTTTGACTTTGCCGTCATTATCGTCAAAATGGTCGCTGAAGTTGTGAACTGAGTGTTTAACCCGCGCCTTGTTGAAATGTTTTCGCTTGGGAATAGGGCAACTCTGAAACTGTCGGACCAATTTTCACATCGTTCACAACGTTCGGGTACCGATAAAAATTTATTGATTGAAAAGTAATTGTGATCTTACAAAACGATCAGGCACCAGGGAACACTCTATACAATGTAACACAGTGTAGCCGATTGTTTCTCATAACCATATTTGCTATAGATCTCTTGCATACTTACAAACTGTGCACATTTATTGAGGACTGGATGACTGATGTACCGCGGAGCCACCAACACTTCCTTCCGATACGTCTCGCTCCGACACTGCCGGCCCGCCGGCCGCCTTTGTTGTCGCTGACAATGATAGCGGCCAGCTCAGCCGGACCCGGGCCGCTAACCGACGCCGCTTTTTGCGTGCGTTGCCTCTGAGGTCAGCATTAATCCGCCGCGCTGCTCCCGCGCCCGCTGTCCTCCCCGTTCCGACTCACGCGTCAGTTGCTAGCGGGGAAGACGATCTCAGGGGTGCGTTGTGAACGAGCGGGTTAGAGAACGGATTGAATCTTGTGCCAAAAAAAAGGTATGTAGTATGCACCGGATCTAATGCTGTACTTTATCGTGTAACTTACATATAAATGCAAAACTGTGTTATAGTGACATACATATGACATGAAAATTATATCGCGTAGCTTGATTTTCTCAGTCGCAGCTTCACTAGTCTGACCTTTGTAGTCTGGGTTGCATTGCACCGTCCTTTTCCTCCAAACCAGTAGGTGGTATAATTTTAACCTGGTCCGTGGTCTGTGCGTTCGTGTGATCTGATTCGGTGACCTAGTCGAGTGATTTAATTTGAGTCTTCGTCTTACCTGGCCGATGGTATTCAGATGGATCTGCGAGTGTCCTTCAACGTGTACCCGCTGACCAGGTGATCGGATGGGCTCGAGTATGACCTTTCAGCCCGACCTGCCGCTCTGCACGTGTGACCGTCCGGCCTGGGCCGGTGTCCAATGTGGGCCGCCGCCGGAGATGGCCCGGCGCGCCGGCCCGGCTGGTGGCGTGGCTTCCCTCGCGTGCTGTGTGCCGACCTCCAGTAAATTACCTCAGGCCCGGCGTTCCCACCGGGGACAGAGGATCACGCGGAGACGCTTCTTCCGCAGAGAAACACACACGTCCGCCGGGCACCCTGCCTCCGGGGATAAACGTTCCAAACGGTCAGCACAGGGCCGCGGGATGGACATGGTCCAACTCCAGACGCCGCCATGTTGCAGCTCGGCTCCGGAATGGTGTATAAATAGAGTTACGGCGAGTTCGCTCGGCGCGGTGGCGTATCGTTAGGTTTGTGCCACCTGTGGGAAATCGGCGGCCCTCTCCACCGGGACGGAACTGTAAAGAAGAGCCCCCGCAGCAGCGGCCCCGTCAGGAAGGACCCGGCTAGTCTCAGTGGAATGGTGCTCTGTGGCTTCCTATGCAGCAGACACGTGGGGTGTTGAGTGTTATCTGTTTGAATGGAATGGTGCTCAAAATTGCACCGTAGGTGAAGGACAAGAGTGTGCGCTCACCGTAACAGCACCGTTGACAGGTCGGCTATTGGCACCTCAATGCTTCAGTTCTGTCATCCTGCTTTAGCCCTCCGTTTTAACCTGGAAACATTCTACATGGAAGCCTCATCCCATCTCACTGGCCGATGCTTGTCGCAAATGCTTTGCTTTTAAATAGTTTCGCTTACAGTTGTAATAAGATGATTCCATTCCGTTCCGCGTTGCAAGAAGACAATCCCACTTTCCGGCACGACCCAGTGTCCCGGTGTAACCCGCCCAGTTCTGTGGGGAGCAGAGGAGCGCGAAAGGGACAGCCGGAGACGCTGGCGGTGGCGGGACGGCTGGCCGTGAGAATCCTCCGCCGATCGATCAGAGCCGAGACTGAAGGCAGCCCGGGCCACCACTGCACGGCCTGCCGCCACGGTCTGCCACTCAGCTCTGCCGCAGGCCGAGACGGACTGGGAGGAAGGACTCCGCTCACTAGGTGCAGTGAGGTGGAGGTCTAGAAGTTGTGTTGATGTTTCATAAACAGGAATTGTTTACAACGGATTAACATCATCACTAGGACAATTGCAGACACTATGCATAGAGTGTAACTTGTAAAATGTAAATTAAAATGAAATCGGACTTACTCCACAAGAGTTCGTTGGGTCGGAGCTTTCGAATTGTATTACAATTCTTCGTCAGCGAGAGTCGTATCGGATGTTAACATCGAATCGAAGGTACAGTGCGGATCGAACAAAATATGGGTCGGACAGGAGGGTCTCTGAGGCAACTAGTTGGTCTTGAAATAAACATACAAACACTGGGAAAACACGTGAATAATAACAGGATGCACACTTATTACTAGAAAAAAGCCTGTAAAATGGGTATAAAACACACTAGTAAAATATCTAATACAAAAATATAGGCAGGTAGGTAAAAATACAGTTAATGACATGTAAAAAATTGCATAGATTAGGTGCAAACAGTACCTAAAGCAGAGATAAAGCTTTACAAAAACACGAATAGTAAACTAGACCATGGATGATATAACACTGGATTGGTGTCTCGTGGAAATTAACATTGGGATCCGCGACATTGGGATCAGGCCTGCCATCTAGCGAGAGAATTATCGTAAGTAAGGAGCAACCCGAATGAACGCCATCTCTCAGCATTATGACACACGTGGGTGTGGTGTGCTAGTTGGCTTGAAGTGTATATTCCCACGAGTTGGAGGTAATCTTATTGGACTTGAGACGATAAAAAATGTCTTGAATGCTTGAAAGCCAAAAATGTCAAGCAGCATTAAGGTAATAACGAAAATAAAATGCGTACGACGGTGTGTATTGAAACGCCCAGTCCCATCGGCTTGTACGACCTTTTCAATGGTCATTTACTCACAATGGTACAGCAGTTTGACAATATGTCATACGTATTTGGTACGCTTATTCCTTCTCCGAATTTCGCTCGATTTTCTTCATCTTAGTTAATTGTTACGGCACGTGCCACGTGCCAACTTAGGGGTGTCGAAATTGTTCCACATAAAGTAACTCCGCATTGGCTGGGCCCATTACAGTAAAACTTCGTCAATAGTTAGGCACCCAGTGGCCAATGCATTTCCATGTGTCACTATGAGGGTGCTACTGCACGTGCGCACGTGCGGACTGCGGGGTGCCACTTCCATATCTCAAGAACGGCTGGGCGGATAACACTCAAACTTGTACACAAATGTCACATCGATGCTCGCAATGCATTGATCAGTGCTTACATTGGTGCAGAGTCGTTAGGAAAACGATAAACTGAGATGCGTGGTGTTTATGCCTTTCTGTTCCAGCAGCTGATCATGATCTGCAACAGGAGATCCTTGTTTGTGAAGGCTTCGTCTCCCTTTTTCACTCCTTGTTTAAAATAACATTAACAATGTACGAAGAAGATCACACATCAAAGTTGTTTTGGGCGGCTATCTTGGGCCAGGGCTGCGGAATTGTAGTCAGAGCCAGCGGTTCAGTTCCTACTCGGAGTCGGTTGATTTTTAAAAGCTGTAGTCGGAGTATGAGTCGAACGTCACTGAAAAGTCATCGACTCCACAGACTTACCAGGGCTGCAGAGTCGGAGTCAGAGTCGGAGTCTGTGTGAATCGACAGTTCTGCCCGGAGGAGTCGGAGTCGATATTTGGATACCGGAATCGGAGATGGAGCCAAAGTCACTGAAATTTCATCGACTACGCAGCACTGGTTGGGTCTTTTTCATAGAGCGTCTTGAATGACGTATTGAGCGGCAATGACGTTAGCAAATCCGTTCAACTTTTTCATTAGACTTATAGATAGTACTTAACGTTCGTTTTGTTCTTTGATCGGACAATTTGTTTGATTTAGGCCAAGTAAAACTCATGTGAAAAATAGCGAAAACGACACGTGCTGGCGAAGTCTCCAATAACTCCCTGTTTCACGATTTAATGAGGAAATAACATGGAACTGCTTATCTTATTACTGACCCTGCACATAAATTTATTAATTTCTTCGCTTTTACTGACATATAAAGACAAAACCTTTTGAAAAATTGCACGACAAGCCCGCTACTACAGTACCACACTCCCATGTGTCACAATGCTAATCAGCGGCGTTCACTCGGCTTGCTCCTAACTTACGATAATTCTCCCGCTAGATGGCAGGCCTGAGCTCAATGTCGCCAAAAACTGCCAAGACACCAATCCATTATTATCTCATCCATGACTAGACTAAGATATAAAATATCAAAATGATAAATTCTATAAATGAACTTTTTAACGGCAGAAACGGCGAATAATGGGAAGCCACCTGTCTTGCAGCAGGGCACCAGAGTTGCGGTTCACATTCGCGTCATTGGGTGACACTAGGACGGCTTCCCGCCGTCCCACGGTACGAATGTAGGCCGATTCGAGAAGGAGTCTCATCTGGTGGTGGCAGGCACGGTTCAGGATTTTGGCGTCGTCGAAGGCCGGCGTGCAGTCCCGGTGCGTGCTGAACGCTGAAGCGTTGGCTCTGGAGCGGACCGAGCCCGCCCAGCTCTCTCGGTGCTCGCGGACTCTGGTTCCAAGTTCTCGGTCCGTTTCTCCGATGTAGACGACCGGGTCACCTTCTACCCGGCAGGAGCACTCGATGCAGTAGATGACATTGCTCTCCTGCTGCTTGGGTAGACGGTGCTTGGCTTGGCTACAGAGGAGGGTCCCGATGGTCTGCGACGGCTTCGACACGAGCTGAATGCCGATCTTGTTGGCTTCTCGCTTCAGTTGGTAGAAGCAGGGACCAGCGAACGGAACCGAGAGCCGGACGGGTGCAGGCAGCGGGCTGGGGTTCGGTGGCGACGGCAGAGCCCTGGCCTTCAGCTGGAGGTCCTTTTCTGTTCTTCTTAGGATCGGGTTGATGAACGAGAGAGGGTAGCCGTGTCGGTGGAATTTCTTGCGTATAAAATCAAGTTCTTGCAGGCGGTCTTTGACGGAGGAGCAGTAGCGGATGGCACGTAAGCAGTCAGATCTGATGGCTGATCTCAGATAGCGCGTCTCTGTATAGGAGTTGAAGGCCGGTACTTGGTTAGTGGTGCATGCCTTCCGGTAGACATTTGTAGTGAACTTGTTGTCCTGTCTTGTGATCATGATGTCTAGGTAGGGCAGTCGTCGATTTTCTTCGATCTCAGTAGTGACTTTGATGTTCTGGTCCTTGTTGTTGAGCAGCTCCACCCATGCATTGAGGATGGTGTCGCTGCCTTCGAAGAGGACCAGGTAGTCATCAGCATATCTGCAGAATGAATAAATTCTCCCTCCACAGTTGGCTGCCAGTAGTTCCAAGTCACGTTCCCAGCCCATGTACAAGTCCGCGACAACTGGTGAGTAACTTTTACCCATGGCTAGGCCAGCAGTCTGCCTAAACCATCTCTCTCGGTCGCCGTCCTGGACGACAGCATGGCAGTTCTTGATGGAGATGCAGAGAAGGTCAGCCACTGCATCTGGCCTCAGGCAGGTTACGTCAGAGAGGGCGTCTTGGTTTTCATTCAGCATGGTTCGAATGAGAGAGATGGCCGACTGGGTAGGTATAGATGGGAACATGGCCTCCACATCCAGCGAGATGAGGCGGCAGCTGTTGGTGGCGTGACCCATGCTCTGCAGCAGATCCAGGACTTCCATCGGAGAACTGATGGAGTGTGGAGGCCGTGGGAGAACTTTTAGACAGGCTGTCAGATGTTTTGTGAGCTCGTAGTCAACACCCCGGTGAGCTGGGCAGATCGGCCGGAGTTTCAGGTTAGAAATCCAGCTGAGTCGCTCTTCTTCAGTGGATGGTGGATTCGGGTACTTGTGGGTCTTGACCAGGCCATAGAATGGACCGCTCCGACCTTTACAGGCTTTTTCTAGTAAGTGTGCATCCTGTTATTATTCACGTGTTTTCCCAGTGTTTGTATGTTTATTTCAAGACCAACTAGTTGCCTCAGAGACCCTCCTGTCCGACCCATATTTTGTTCGATCCGCACTGTACCTTCGATTCGATGTTAACATCCGATACGACTCTCGCTGACGAAGAATTGTAATACAATTCGAAAGCTCCGACCCAACGAACTCTTGTGGAGTAAGTCCGATTTCATTTTAATTCACAATTCATCTCCACATCATGTCTTTAAATTGTAAAATGTACATATTTAGCCGTACAAAATCCAGTGGATGCCCACTCCCTAGTCAAGCCCAGCATGCTTTGGTCCGGAGTCTGACTGGGAGATTATGGAACTAATCTTGCCTGGTTCTTATCTGACCTTGACCTTGTCTTTATCCGAATTTCTCAATCTCTGCTGCAAATGTCAATGCTAAAAGGCTTTGGTCGCAACCCGGCGCACTTCCGTATTCCTGACTCAGTGGTGGTGACCTTCCGTGACCTCGGCAAAAGGTACCGTCCTCCGCGCTGGCCAGCTAATAAACTGGATTTGCGTAGTGAATGAAGAGATACGAGGGTGCGCTCTACCAGGCTGCAGCCCTTGGTGGAGGCTGGGACTGAGACCATGAGCTGACCAGCGACCAGTGTAGCTTTTAAAACACTGAACATGGAAATGTAGGTGCGTGTGCTTTTCCTAGAAATTTTGCTTATGTAGAATGGCGTGCTCTTAACTTCAGGCATGCTGATTGCTGCCTTCGTGGGTGAGAAAAATCAAGTCATTTCTCCTGAAAATAACCGAACGGTCGGCGAGCCACGAAAGGTCATGAGCTAATGGCAAGATGAGAATGTAGGAGCAACAGGGATGGGCTGGAGCAGAGCACGTACACTGTGCGATGCAGTGTTTTCTCGTGCTTACTTAGGCTACTAACCCAATGAGACTCCTGCGTCGTTCCTCTGACTGACCGTGTGTCCGTGTGTGCTCCCACAGTCAGACGGAGGAGGGGGGCTCCGAGTCTCACCGGCGGAGGGCTGACCGCACACCGTCCCAGCGAGACGACAGTCTGAGGAGCGGCGGCGGCGGCCGGCCCACACCGGCACGATGGGCGGACAAGGTGAGAGCGCGCAGCAACACCGCGCCGGTGCGGCGGTGCAGGGGGCGAGACTGTGAGAAAGCGCTGCTGGGAGGCCGCCGGAACATACCTACTTCGGTATCAATGGTTTTGTGTGTGTTTTACATTAGGTCAGAAGAATTGCTCTGTTTGAGTAGTTGGGGTTTTCGAAAATGATTTTTAGACAATTGTGAGTACAATGCTTCCATTTTAAGTGGACTGCCGGCTGCCGCAGTATCGCTATAACTACTATGATCGTTTCTTCTAATTCAGCATAATCCTCTCCAAACCTCATGAGTCATGTGTTAATTATATCGCACAACTGTGGTATGTATGCCTACCTCAGAAAGTCCCTCGCAGTTGGAACCATGGGCTTAGTTGCGTCCTTAGGCGGCACAATGATCAAAGTTGGAAATACCACATAAGACCTTTATGTTAATTCCGACTAGATTTGAGTCAACTTGACAAAGTTAGCGCGGTTACCCGCGGAGTGTTGGCCCGTTATATAAACTGCATGCCCGAGGGACTTCATTTACGTCAATGGATGGTCCCTCCCGGCCTTATGTAAGGACGTGTGCACACCCGGGGCACAGAATAACAGAGCTGCTAGTAATGGGGAGAGCTGCAGTCACAATGAAGTTGTGTTTACAGGACATATTGAAATGCAGCGCTCTTTTTTGTTTTGTTTAAAGCATGCTTCTTATTCAAAGAAGGATAAGCATTTGAAAGGCATTTGAAACAAAGAAGCTTGAAAAATAAGCTGAATTGAAAAGAAGCATACTTAAAGTTTGAATATTTGAAATCGACAATAAATAATGCTAACTTTAACCTCTGTTGGCGGAAATCACAAAGAGCCCTGTCGCCAGCCGGTACGTTTTTACTTATAAGACTGATTCAAAGCTGCGAAGTGCATTCAAACATTGATTGGTGCCTGCCCAACTGATAAAACACGGTAAACTTGGTGGATTGGCCGGATACTCTGCCTCTGACAGCCTCTGCCTCCATTGAGTGAGCGCAACAAATAATCAAATAAATGTACTGTGGCGCGGGACATTGCCACGGGGCGACTCCTGGGAGTGCGATGGTGCATCTCGAGCAGGCCACTCCCCATCCAGCGCTGCCCGATGGCAGTCTCCTGGGAGGAGACACGGAGACGCAGACCCATCGGAAAACGATCGCACGACATAGGAGAGAAGCGGCCATCAGGATAATCGGGGAATGGAACAGCAGGATAATTATCATACAGGGGTGATTACACCCACGCATACAAACAGACTTAATAACCCAACGGTTATTAACCCATTACGACCATTACACAGTATAGAACAATCTTCAAACAAAGCGGTCGCCACCTAACGTGTCACCACTAGGTCAATCACCACACTACAGAACAGCGGCCACACTCGCTCGGTATACGCCTCCCCGCGCAACAGGTGTGCTCGGTGGTCGCAGGAAGCCGAGGATCGTGTCGATGGGCGGCTGGCCGGTGCCGGGCCGCGCTCTGACCGCCCGCCGGGAGGGTTGGGACGGTGCCGCCCACCAGCGGTCGATGAAGGCGACGGCCGCTGTGCAGCCGCCCAGAGTCGGGACAGAGGAACGGCAGGAGAGGAGGGGGTGGAGAGAGAGAGAATGGTGGGAGAGGAGGGGTGGAGAGAGAATGGTGGAAAGGTGGTGGAGTGGATAAGAAGGTAATGAGGGTAGAGGTGGTGGGTGGATAAAGAATGGTGGGGAGGTGGTAGACTGGATAGATGATAAGAATATAATGTGAATAGATAACGGGGTAAAAGGTGTTGTGTCGGCTAGATGATGTCGAGAGAGCTACTGGAGTGGACAGATACTTGCTAAAGAAGTGCATTGGAAGGCAGTGCCCAAACAGGTGGCTACCATCCTGTCTCGCTATTTTTATTCTGGTCCCGCCTTATTGGAGCCTCAAACTGACATTTATTCGACAACCATTCAATATATCCGACATTCGATTTACCTGGCAGTATGTGCGCCACTAACTCGCTCAAAACGGGACCGTTTCCGACTAGTAACGGTTTTGCCGGGCGACCATTTGGCCGGTAAAGTATCCGATATTTGCACCCGAACAGTTCTGCGACTATTCGGTACGATTGAATGGGTTGCTGCACAAGTGATGTTGATTTCAAGCCCTGGCAATCTCAGTGGTCGCTATGGACGACCTGTTGGTGGTAGACAGGGGAAATGTGTGTGATGAACCGTTATCACTTTCGCTGTTACATCTCTGTCAACGGAGAATGCGTAGGTCCGATAGGCGTTATCACAAGTGTATTCGCGGTCATTGGGGCGACGTAAGAAAAGAAGAAAACAACTGGCCCCAAGAACTTTAAATTATCAGTTAGCATGCATCTTTTCCTTGATCTGTAGATAATTTATCATTAATTGCTAGAGAAAATTGCATTTAAAATCTTCCATCTATGTTTTTTTCATCGTTTGCACAATATGTTCTTTTTTAAAATAGAAACACTAATTAGAAATAGTTCCCGCATCATCAAGAACAATAGGGAAGGCTTGAAGTGAATACAATAATCTTAACGGTGTTGTAATCTAGGTATGTGAAGACACTTCTAAAATTGCCTGTAGAAATATTGAAGGCAAAAGTTCAACTTTTTCACAAGACGGATGTCTATAAACCTATTCAACGTGTGACAACTCAGCCGGTATTTCGTCGCCTACAGCCCAGCTTTCCCTAGTGACCGATAGAGGCGCTGCTATCGATGTCCGCCCGTGCCGCCTAACGCAAGGTTGTTTCAAGTGTATCATTTCAATTTTCGTCACCATATTTTGTTTCAGTTTTTTTTTTCAAGATAGTTTACAACGGAGAAAGCGTAGTTTTCATTTCAGGAAGGCTAACTTAGCTGCTAATCTTCATTCGCATATTGTACCTGATTTTTCATAGAAATATTATCTAATTTGAAGTGTATCGCATTCCCAGAGTCGTATATCTCATTCTCATTAAACACTGTCAACGAAAACTCATGGTTTCGCTTCCTGGAATGGAATAGCTTCCAACCGCCCACAGGCTTTCCGAGAAGCGAGGAGGTAGGATTTCTCATTAGCGACATGTAGGAGACACTGTCCTGTGGTTCGGGGAAGCTCTCATGCATACATTGGTCCTGCCCAAAGTCAAGCTCCACGTCATGAATCACGCATAGCCCTGCAGTAGCCAGGTCCTTGGCACGTATAGAGACGTTGCATGTGGATTGTCTTGTCCACGCTGGTGGTCCCTGACCTTTTCCTCTAGTCCTGACTGGTTTTGAGTGCACAGGACACTGCCTAAGGTTTCCGCATTGGTGGTCTGTGCCCTCCTCCGAGTCCAAACCAGTGCTATGTGCTCTCACATGGCGGCGGTCCGATATGTGCTGACCTGACTCGTACTGTATTCGCAGGGCGGCGGCAGCTGGCGGCGGCTGAGCGCCTGGTGCGGCGGCGGCCATACTGTCCTGACTGGTACTGTATTCACAGGGCGGCGGCAGCTGGCGGCGGCTGAGTGCCTGGAGCGGCGGTCCGATAGTACTGTCCTGACCTCTGACTGGTACTGTATTCACAGGGCGGCGGCAGCTGGCGGCGGCTGAGCGCCTGGTGCGGCGGCGGCTCGGACCGGGCACACCACCACTCGGCGATGGACCTGCCGCTGGCGGCGCGCACGGCTCCCAACGGCCGCCACCAGTCGCTCCGGCAGACCAACAGCGCCGTATACACGACCCCCACCTACATGTGCACGTACGGGCGGCACACCATCCCCTCCCCACTGCCCATCCTCAGCGGGCTGCGGCGCAACGCCAGCGCCGGCACGCTGGGCGCCTCGCGGAGCCTCTCCTCCGAGAGCGTCTACACGATCGTCATCAAGTTTCCGGAGCCGGTGACGCCCAGCGCCGACCCGAGCATCACCATGCTGAGCGACTCGGACGCGGACGCGGAGGCGGGCCACCAGCCGCACTGTCCGCTGAGCAGGAGTCCGGCGCCGGCGGCCGCCAGGGCGGGGGCGGCGGCGGCCAGGGCGGCGCGGAGACCCGCCGCCGCAGCGGCGGCGGCAGCGGCAGCGGCAGAGGACGACAGCGACAGCTCCGACGAGGACCTGCCGCTGCCGCCGCCCCCGCCGGTCTCCCGGCGGCCCTCCCAGCTGCCGGACCTGAGGATCCCGCTCAACGCGCGCGTCATACCCAAACAGCTCGCCAAAGCGCCCAATCCGAAGAAGAAAAAGAAACGCGAAGAGAAGAAACAGGAGCGGAAAGCGGCCAAGACGCTGTCGGCCATTTTGTTGGCGTTTATAATCACGTGGACGCCGTATAACGTGCTGGTGCTGATCCGAGTAATGTTGGAGTGTGACGACTGCATCCCGGACCAGTTGTGGAACTTCTCCTACTATCTGTGCTACATCAACTCCACTGTGAACCCGCTCTGCTACGCCCTGTGTAACGCCTCCTTCCGCAGGACCTATGTGAAAATCCTCACCTGTACGTGGTCCAAGAACAAGCGCCACCCGGCCAACAGAGTCTACTACAACTGACAGATTGTGTTGGATTGTACAGACCCTGCTGGACTCAGGGTATATTGCTGGACTCTGCTGTTGGCGGCAGTGTGAGTAACTTGTTTGTGAAGTTTGTCCAGCTGACCATTTCCGTCGGCTCGGTACTTTGTATGTGTGTATCTGCGATGTTTAATGTTATAAAACGTTGTGTTAACTTTCAACGGAAGAGAAGAGGGGAAGGTAGGGCCTGGCGAAAGTTCTTCGCCCGTTGTTTGAAAAAGGTCTACATCGCGCTAACAAGTGCATACTGGACAATTGTTCCAGGAAGTTTTACTGCTCAGTGTTTCAAAGAGGGAACAGTTCGCGTTTCCGACTGTTTACACGCTTGTGGCCAAAGATGTTCTCAACTGCTTCCTAAAAATGTCACCTTTATCGGCCCCAAGTGTTATTGAGCTTTCAAGAGGCTTGTCGACGTTTTCTTAAGAGTATGAGTGTTTGGCTTATGTAGAGACTCAAGAGTTAGGTGTTATTCTAGAGTAAAGATTGAATAGCATAACGATAACCGATTACATAAAAGCATTATAATTTAGAAAGCTCACTATCTTTATTGAGGTTGCCTTTTTTATCCATGCTTTACAATTCGTGTGGGGCTTGCCACCCTAAGCAAGCCATTCTTCGAACAACCTGGGTGTCCAAAATATTTTAATCGGTGTAACATACACAAAATGATTTCGCTCTCCGAATTAGTTGTAGAGTGGGTTGAAGCAGTAGCATTGAGCAATACTGGCGATGGTCCTTTCCACATCGAATTAAGACGGTTCTGGTCGATTGATGAACGTTTAAGTATGCCATTGTCTCGTTTGTAGATGTAACACTTCTGTCATATTCATATATGACATTCGTTAACTTCGCCTTTATGTTTCACTTTAAGTCGGATGTGTGTATATGTGTATTTTCGGTGGAGATGTGTGTTAGATGTGACTGGACAGTACCGAGCATGTCGCTGATTTACAGCCATGCCGTGTCAGAGCCCACGTTTGCCGTGCGATGCGACTCCGCCGGGAGACTCTAGTCCGTTTTCCGAGCGGTGCGACTCCTTTGTGAGTCCGTTTGCCGTGTGGTGTGACTCCGCCGGGAGACTCTAGTCCGTTTGCCGTGTGGCATAACTCCGCCGGGAGACTCTAGTCCGTTTGCCGTGTGGTGTGACTCCGCCGGGAGAGTCTAGTCCCGCCATGTTTTCCCGTGACGGCGCTGTACGGTGTGTAGCTGTAGGAAGGGGACCATCGCTTCAGTGTATATGAACTCGGGCCACCGTTTTTCAGTGGCTGCTCTCACGTTTCGCATCGAGCGTCTTCCCAGACGCCGACTTTAGCGAGTGAGGGACCTTTGGCAGATACATATCTCCCGTGAGACCGACATTTGCGCCGACAAGGCCCGGCGGCTGCGTATCGATCGGTGTGAGGTTTGACCCGCTGTTTCCTGTTGTATTTAAAGGTGGAAAGCGAACGGTTTAGAGGACTGCTTTTATGCCGTTCGTTTTATCGACGCTCATTTCATTGCGATCCTGAAGGCATTTTTGGCTAAAATTTGCCTGAGACATCCGTAACTGCATCCCTGATACCGCCGAATAAGCGTAAGATGTTTGTTGTTCACAACATTTGTCGATTATCGTACCCGCACACAATTTTATACGCCCAAGAACACGAAAAGCTCATATTTTCGAGCGTTGATCTACGCGCTTCTGCGTGTATGTGTATGCATGTGTAGATGAGTGTTTTCTGGAGCTGGTACCGTGGTATCTTGATGTCGACCAAGCGCAATTGCGCTGGATAGGTACTTCACCATGTCATCGCTTTGTGTTTTTGGCCACATTCTAATGGTATTGCGTTACATGAATGCATTATGTCTATGTGGAATGAAGTGGGTTGAACTATGAATAAACTATTGCCTTCATGGGCGTCCTTACGAGATCATCGTTCAAACCATTTTCGTCCCGTGGCTGAATCGAGCCGTTTGTAGGTAACATCTCTCACATTTACCCTCAGTGGTCGGCGATATCACGGGCCCAGTCCCACACCTACTCCCATTTGGGCTTAGTGAGCAAGTCACGGGGTACTCTGGTGCTGTTCTGAGAGGCATCTTATGTACATAGAACAGCAACTGGCGAAACCCTGTTCGCAACGGACCGGCTAGAAACGCAGTTTGTGAGTGAATGCAACGGTTGATTGCTTATGTTCGCGGAGCACACGGCTCTCAGTCAGTGGAACCCTGCGGAACGTCGGCTAGACTGTACCGCAATACATGCCTGTCAGGCGGGACAGTCTACATTCCAGTGAACGGCCGCGCGCTTCAGGAGCAGAGAAGATCGCCGGCCTCCGAGACAAACCGAACCGATAGCAAACGATGCATGGATAAATACAATGGGTCTATCTGATGGATCCTTCATCACACCTATTGGATGATCATTGATCAGTCCGCTGATCTAATCTGTCGCCCATTGTCTGCGCCGTAAGCTCGTTATACCTATCGAAGATATCCCGACGGCAACAGGTTGTCACCGATCGGCCCTCGGAGTAACCTTGTTTACCACGATGGCCGCTGAGTGGATAGTGTCAGCTGAGAGTGCGGGGCTGTTCAGAAGGAACGCCGGGTGCCGCAGAGACTCGTCCAGTGCGGAGCTGGGCCTCTGGATACCGCTGGACCCCGAGAGGGTCGCAGCAGATAGCGGCGGCAGCGCTGGAAATGCTCTCAGAAGGCGCCCGATACGAACGGTCGATGGCGGAGCGCCGCTCGGATAAACCCCGTCATGGAGCCATAAACTGAGCGGCGTAAGAGAGGACGAGAACGGACGGGAGCACACATCAGCGGCAACAGTCGGACGAGGAAGGGGCGCTGCATGGCGAGAGTGAAGACGGTACCTTTCCGGAAAAGGTGGACTAGTAACGCTGTAGAACAACAAGGGAACAGGAAAACGTTTTAGGTTTTCACTGATCAACTTATTCCAATCTCCGATCGGTCGTTCTTCCGCGTTCATCGACGGCACTATTCATATCCCATACACCGTTCGCCGAACGCAAAGTTCAAATGAATTTCTGCACCTGGAATCGTCGGCCCCTGCGGCCGTCCGTCTTCTCGGCGCTGGGCCGCTCCGGGGCCCGGACCCTGACCGAGGCCGTGCTAAGTCTCGGGGAACGGTCGGACCCAACGCTCTCTATAATGCGATGTCGAAACGTCCACTTCAACAGGAAATAGTAGGCCGACTCCCTCTTCGCTCCCCTCCCTCCCAAACCTCTCTCCATCCAGCTCAGAGAC